ACAATGAAGCTCCATCAAGGACTCTGTTCCAGCACTGCTCCCTCCAAAAATCTGTGGATTGTTGGTAAACGCCTGCAGAATGAGACCCTTTGGTCTCTCCTTGAGTGAAGAGGGGGTTTGCACAGGGTGGAGGCTCTGAAGGGATTCTGAGCTCTCCCTCCCCAGAGCTACCAGAAGATCAACAAGCACATGACAGCAGAGAACAACTTTGTTGTGTTCAAGGTGAGGAGGCACCACCACCAAAGCAGGGACAGCTTTGGAAAGGCAAAGCACATTCAAATCACCCTTTGTATCCAGCAATGCCAGGCCCAGGGCACAGGGCACAGGTGGAGTCATCCCAGGAAGCAGAAGCACCTGTGTAGCAGTGCTGGGCTGTAATTCCTCCTTGTTTCAGGTCCCTCATCCCAAACTCAGGAGTGTCCCCCAGATCAGCTCTGGGTCATTCAGACCTTGTCCCTTCACCAGATGCTCTGCCAGTCCTCAGCCATTCTGTGTCCAATCCCAACATCCACAGCCCTCTGGTTTCACCCGCAGGAGACACAGTAAGAAGCTTCTGCTGTTTCAAGTATGGTACAAAATATCTGTCTGCCAGGAAAAGGGAAATTCAGTGGTGTGACATTGTTTGGATCCATGGACACCCTCCCTCTTCCCCTCCCAAAAAAAAGGTGGAGATGAGAAATCACTTCACTCTTGGCTCTGCTTAATGGCGCAGAGATCAAGAAATCCTCCATTTCTGATTTAATATGAAATTTCAGATCTTAATTTAATCTGAAACTCCAAAGGTTTGTGTTAGATACAAAGACTTCACCCAGTGACCCAGAGAAGGTCTGGTCCAACCTTCGTTGTCACCATTCCAGGATATGGATGCTGCCTGTGTGAACAAGGTGGATCAGGGGACCAAGGTGGATGCCCTGGCAGATGAGATAAACTTCCTGCGAGCCCTCTACGAAGCAGTGAGAGTATCCCCAATTTCCCAGTTGCCCCATTTTCCCAGTCTCCAGAGGCTCAAAGAGCCCAAGAGCTGGTCAGTGTGATAGATGAGTAATGCAATGATTGACTCTCACAATTAAAGGTTAAATATCATGTATATATGTTAAGAGAAGTTTTATAGATTTATGGTTATGTTTTACCCCCCTTGCACTGGTCTCAGGGGACAGCCTGGGTTTGGGACATTTGGGAGGGTCAGGTTGTTACCATGGCAACAGCTGACCTCCAAGCAAGATTTAAGGACATGAACTCCACCACTGGACAGCGAAGAAGGAGTCGAGGGACAGAACTTTGGGAGGGCCTAAAGGGTTAAAAGTTGAAACCTCCATTGTGTGGGTGAGCACATGGTGGGGAAAATCCTCTGCTGCTCCTGGCTCCATTATATTTTCTCTAGTCAGTCTTCTGTTGTATTTTTGAAAAGGTTAAATAAATATTGCTAAATGTTTGGAAGTCAGTAGCATCTCTCACATCAGTGCTGTAGCTCCTCCCCAACTCTCTTCTACACCTCAGCTCAGGACAAACAAACAGCAAAACATTTGGGACAGAAAATGAATTTGTTTGACTTCCAGCAGCTGTCCCAGATGCAGACCCAGATCTCTGACCCCTCGCTGGTGCTGTCCATGGACAGCAGCCAGAGCTTGGACCTGACCAGCATCATCAGCAAGGTCAAGGCACAGTATGAGGACATCACCAAATGGAGCCGTGCTGAGGCTCAGTCCTGGTACCAGAGCAGGGGGAGGAGGTGCAAACAAACAGGGAGATTTTTGTTTAGCATTTCCCAAAGGCTGAGTTATACTGGAGACGGCAAGCAGCAAGGACAGGGGAGAAAGGTGTAAAATGAAGTGGATTTGGAGAAGAGTTCAGATAGTTCCTTGGAGATGTTTGGCAGTTGGACTTCATGATCTTAAAGGTCTTCTCCAACCTTCCATGATTCTTCAAGACTCTCCGGGAAAATGCTGCTTTGATAATGAGAGGTGGAGGAGCAGAAGGACACAGAAGGAGGAAGCTCAAGGGGATGAGTGTGGCAAATCCTGGTGAAGAGAGGATCAGAGCAGGGTCAGTCTCTGCCTGTCCCCTGTGCCACCTCCCTGCCCTCCCAGTACCAGGAGCTGCAGCTCTTGGCCGGCTGGCACGGGGGTGACCTCCAGAACACCAGGGTGGGGATCTCAGAGATGAACCACCTGCTCCAGCAGCTCCACTCAGACATGGACAGCGTCAAGGTGCAGGCACAGGACCTCCCCAAAAGTGGGGCACTCCTGTCTCTTGGGCTGACCCAGCCCAAACCTTGGCTTGGGAGCTTCTCCAATCACATCCTTGGTGACTCCTGGCCTGGTGGCTCTGCCAGCTGCTCCAGACAGGGGTTATAGATAAAGCCCGACTGCTTGCCCTCATCTGGAATGAGCCTTTCCAAAAGTTTAGCTCTGATCCTTGGGATCCATCTTCCTTGGTTTTAAAAACCTCTTGGAGCATTCCTGCTCTTCTGGCATCTCCATGGACTGCCCAAAATGCTCTCAGTCCATGGAGTGGGGGGAGATGCTCCTGGGGAACCACTTTTGACCCCAAATTGTCTTTCTGCTCTTTAGCTGGTTGGGATGGTGGTGTGCATGGCCAGGTGAAACCAGCCCCACCTTCTGGTCTCTGTTGGCTGTTAATCGTGGGAAACCTCCCAAGGTGTTGCTTTGGGATCTCTCCCAATGCTCCAGTGCTCCCCCTCTTCTCAAACTGAGACAGGGAGGAGTGGGAGATGGGAAGGCTCTGAGCAGCAGACAGTGACAAGGCCAAATCCTCTAAAATTACTCTAAACTGACTCTTGCAGGGGGATTTCGTGGTGGCACAGAAACCCTGCACTGCTCGTTGTTTGATTGCAGTTTATCGAAGAAATTTCATAAAATTCATATAAAAAGTTCATCAGGAGCAGAATATGGGAGGAATGAGCTGGTTGCATTTTGGCACACAATTTCCCAACCCTTTTCTTTGCCTCTCTCCCCTCCTCATAAAAACAAACAAACAAACAACAACAACAACCCCCCCCAAAAAAAACCAAACCAAAACAAAAAAAACACCAAAAAAAAAAAAAAAAACAAACAACCAAAACCAAACAAACTACACCTGAAGGTGTTTAACCAGAGATGTTTTCCCAAGTTATGTAAAATTTAAAATTTATGGTTTTCTAACTCCCTTTTCCCCCTTTTTCTAACCTCTCCAGCTTCTCAAAAGGGGAATGATTTAAGGATTTTCTGCTGGGACACAGGACACCTGTGCATTATGTGGGCTTTGGGTTTAAAATGATCCCTTCTGGGTGGGTGAGGAATTAATTGGACATTAGAGAGAGCCCTTTCACCTATGGAAAATTAAGGTTGAATTTTAGGATGTAGGAGAGCCCTGGAGTGAGCCACAATGACAGAGGAATTGGGGAATGGGGAAACTGCCTGTGGGAAGACGTTTTGTTTTCCATTTCATAAGAATCTGGGGAGTGAGGGAGGAGTAGGTGGGAGGGAGCACCACGGGCTCAACTCTCCTGGATTCCTGGGCAGGTGAAAGAACAGGCTCTGCTTCCAGAGGTAAACATAATTCTTGCCCCTCCTCTGGATTGGCACCGCGGCACTGGGAAGGTGCTCGCTGAGTTTTGACGTTAATGAGACTCGTTAATGAGACAGCTGATTATTCACTGACAAGCTGCACTCGCCAGCTGGGGGAGGGATATGCAGGGAATTGTTTGGACGGGGAGAGGGAGCACTCCCAAGCTGAGAAACAGCGCTGGGAAAGTTTTCCCTCAATGGCAAAGCGACAAGCAGGGATGCCGAGATGATTCCAAGGCTTTGTGCTGGCAGGGGAAGGTGCTGCTTGCCTTGCCGTGCTCCAGGTGAGTGGCTCAGCTCCGGGGGCTTTCCTGGGTGGTGCTTTTAGACACAAACCTCCCGCTGGAGCTGCTTCCTGCTCCGGAGCCGAACCCCCCCATTCCGAGCCTGCTGTTGAAACCCACTCCCAGCCCCAGAATGTTCCCACCTCTGCAGCTGCTCCCAGGTAAGACCACGACTTCCATGGGAAAGCAGGGGCACAGGTTTGTTTGAAGAGTACAAAGGAATTTCAAGCCTTAGTTTCACACATTCCAGTTATTTCTTGGACAGTCTATCACTGACTGGATTTCACACATCTAGTTCTCCGGCTTTTCTTCCTGGCCTGAGGGATCTGAGTCTCCCAAGAGACAATCTCAATGTACAAATCCCTTCAAATTAAAATATGGTCAAGGAAAATGTGTCTCAGGCTCTTTGACCTCCCACCTTAAGGGCCAGAAAAATTATATTCATTTTTCTGCAGATAACTACAAGCTGTATCCTTCCTTCCTTGTCTTATCCTCAATTCCAGGTACAATCAAGTAATCACTTAATATATTGTTTGTGAGATGGATTATCTAGAAATATTAATGGCACCAACATCTTCTCCAGACAGCCTGGAAGAAAGAGAGGATGGAGAAGTCAGGGCTCCTTATAAGGATAATTTCAAGCAACATTTTTGCACCAAGAACCTTGGAAAACAGACCCAGTGGGGGCTGGGTCTGATGGGGAGTATCCAAGAGGATTTGGAATGACACCTGTTACTGTGTAGGATGGGGGTGAATTTCCTCTGCAAAATTTTGTGAGATTTTCACCTCCTTGCAAGGCAAAGGTGAGAACGTTTCTGAATTTGGACGTGATTTGGTTTGCAGGGGGAGTTCCCACCTGCTCTCCTTGCTCTTCCTGTAAGTCCCAATCTCGATGTCCAGAGCCAGCTTGATGTTCATGAGCTTCTGGCATTCCTAGAGCTGCCAGGCCATGTCAGCCTTGGTTTTATATAGTGGGACACAGTATGGGTAAATTAAGGTAATGTAGAATGTAATCTTATCCCCCAACGAGTTGCAGCTGGACCCCATTACTAAAGACTAGGAGCAGGCTGGATGGTAACAGGCAACACCTGCAGCAAATAAGAACAAGTGGTACAAAAGAGTGGATTGGTGGGAGCTGGACTCAGAGAAGTCAGATGACTGCTGCAAGGACCAGGAGCAGTCAGTGCCTAGAGGAGCTGTCCACAGAAAGCACTGAGGAGGTATGAAACTGGTGCTATGGGACCTTTGCACTATAATGATAAGAGAACTGTTGTGATGTATAAGACAACAGCTTTCTGCAGAGTGGCCTCCAGTTTCTCCAGCCTAGCCCTGGAATCCCTGAGGGCAATGTCCCTGTGCTGCTCTGCCTCAGCAATGGCCATCTGCAGCCCAGCCACCTGTGGGAACAAGTCCAGTGACCATGTGATGGGTCTGCATCCCGATTCCCAGGCCCCTTCCAGCCACGGGTGGAGATGGGAGTGCCCCACTTTTGGGGAGGTCCTGTGCCTGCACCTTGACGCTGTCCATGTCTGAGGGAGCTGCTGGAGCAGGTGGTTCATCTCTGAGATCCCCACCCTGGTGTTCTGGAGGTCACCCCCGTGCCAGCCGGCCGAGAGCTGCAGCTCCTGGTACTGGGTGGGCAGGGAGGTGGCACAGGGGACAGGCAGAGACTGACCCTGCTCTGATCCTCTCTTCACCAGGACTTGCCACACTCATCTCCTTGAGCTTCCTCCTTCTGTGTCCTTCTGCTCCTCCATCTCTCATTATCAAAGCAGCATTTTCCCAGAGAGTCTTGAAGAATCGTGGAAGGTTGGAGAAGACCTTTAAGATCATGAAGTCCAACTGCCAAACATCTCCAAGGAACTATCTGAACTCTTCTCCAAATCCACTTCATTTTACACCTTTCTCCCCTGTCCTTGCTGCTTGCTGTCTCCAGTATAACTCAGCCTTTGGGAAATGCTAAACAAAAATCTCCCTGTTTGTTTGCACCTCCTCACCCTGCTCTGGTACCAGGACTGAGCCTCAGCACGGCTCCAGTTGGTGATGTCCTCATACTGTGCCTTGACCTTGCTGATGATGCTGATCAGGTCCAAGCTCTGGCTGCTGTCCATGGACAGCACTGCCGAGGGGTCAGAGATCTGGGTCTGCATCTGGGACAGCTGCTGGAAGTCAAACAAATTCATTTTCTGTCCCAAATGTTTTGCTGTTTGTTTGTCCTGAGCTGAGGTGTAGAAGAGAGTTGGGGCAGAGCTGCAGCACTGGTGTGAGAGATGCTACTCGCTTCCAAACATTTAGCAAGATTTATTAAACCTTTTCAAAAATACAACAGAAGACTGACTAGAGAAAATATAATGGAGCCAGGAGCAGCAGAGGATTTTCCCCACCATGTGCTCACCCACACAATGGAGGTTTCAACTTTTAACCCTTTAGCCCCTCCCAAAGTTCTGTCCCTCGACTCCTTCTTCGCTGTCCAGTGGTGGAGTTCACGTCCTTAAATCTTGATTGGAGGTCAGCTGTTGCCATGGTAACAACCTGACCCTCCCAAATGTCCCAAACCCAGGCTGTCCCCTGAGACCAATGCAAGGGGGGGTTATACATAACCCTAAATCTATAAAACTTCTCTTAACATATATACATGATATTTAACCTTTAATTGTGAGAGTCAATCATCGCAGGCTGGATCAGCTCTTGAGCTCCACAATTCAACACCCAGAGACAACGAGCCAACCTTGCTCCTTCCACTTCCCAGGAGATGCCAACTCACCCAGGGCCCAACCAGGAAAATGCTGAACCCTCTGAGCTCCTCTTAGGCTGGATCCCAAAGAAAGTGCTCAAGTGCCAGAGCTCCCACACAGCTTCACCCTGAAACACTGAGTGGCTTTCAGGGTTACATGCAGGAACTTCTCCTCCAGGGAGCAAAACATGTTCCCAGGCCATGGGAATGCTAAGGAAATCACATAAAAGCACCTCTAAAAGAGGGATTTCCAGGGCTAAGCCTTATTCCATTGCAGCCAAAGGAATTAAGTGTTCCCACCCATGGCACAGAGCCCTGTTGATATTCCAGCAAGGATGGGACTGAAAATCACCTATTTCATGTCTCCAGGAAAGATTTACCCACATTTCCTGCAGTTTTGTCACTCTGAACCCACCTCTTTCACTGAAAAATAAATAGATGTACAGTCCAAACTGGGATTTGCCCAACAATTCCAGTAGAAAGAAATGCCCAGGTCTGTTTTTCCTGGCAGTGATTCCCCATGGAAGACACTCCTGCAAGTGATGAGAGCTGTCACTCCATGGATCTTTGGGAAGGCAAAGGCTGCACAAGGATCAGGATCTGCTCCAGGTGCTTGTGGGTGACTTCCATCAGCAGCTGCTGGGGTTGGGCATTTGGAGGTGGAAGAGGAGGATTAGATTAGTGTTCCTGTTTAATCGTGGAATATCCTGAGCTCGATCATCAAGTCCAACTCTTGGCCCTGCCCAGGGCAATCCCAAGGATCCCACCATGTGTTTAAGCTGAATAATGAGGAGCAAAGTGATGTTTTTTCCTCCACTTGCAGGTATGAGGAGCAAATCCCCCCCCATGCCTATGCAGAGGAGGAGTTTGTTGGGCTCACAGCTCTTTCAACCAAATACAACAATTATGCCAGGCTTTTAGGGAGAACAGCAGCCAGTGTTGGCAGTAGGAAGGTGAGGCCTCTCCCTCTCTGGAGGTCCCTCTCTAGAGGAACCTAAAGGCCAACTTTTGGGGAGATTTTAATTTAAAAGAGTAGAATCCCACCTTAAGGTGATCAGCTTTAGCTGAGTGTGTTCATTCAGGATATTTGGAAGCCCCAACTGGCCCAAACCTTCCTTCTCCTCTCTGTGTCCAGTGACATTCGTCATCTTCCTGAGAGGAGTAAAAGGCTTGAAGAGAGCAGCCCTGGGAATTTGCAACCTCATTATCTGCTGGCATTAAACACCTTTCCTTTTCATTCCCCAAACCCTTTAAGTGCTCCAGGACACACAGATTGTGCCTCTGTGAGCAAAGCCGAGCTGAAAGCCAAGGTGGAGTGCCTCCTCCAAGGGCACTGAAGAGCCTCTGTAAAGTGGTAACAGCTTTTCCTTTGCTCTTCCTCATGCCATGTCCCTTCAGGGGCTCTGTGAAATTGGGCTTCCACAACCATCACTAAATCCCAGAGCTTTTTGGTGTTCCACATGTATGTCAGTCGATTGCTCTGCATTTCAAAGGCATTACTTCTTTACTATTTGGGCAATATCCCAAGGAATCTGTTCCAGCCTGATGGGGAAGAGAGATGCCAAGGCCTTCATTCTTCAGATTTCCAAATTTGTATTAAAAAGGCTTTTTAAAGGTTGATATTCACAGCCCCTGCTGGGTTTCCCTGTCTGTGACACACCCTCTGCCCACTTCTTGCTGCTGCTGAGTCACTCATGACCCCAGAAACAAAGGTTTGGCCTTAAAACTCCAGATCTGGGACTGCAGCCCCAAAATCCCACCAAGGGTTTGATCAGTGACTCATGTCCTCACTCTGTCTGTATTCCTCATGTTCCTGCTCTCCTCGATGTGAGGAACTGAGAGGAACCACGGCAATGACAGCAGCTCTTTGGACACAAAGACTGCAGTTGTGGAGGTGATCCCTGGAACAGGGAACCACCAAAGCCCAGGGAAGGATGACTCAGGACACTGAGGTGTCCATTGCCATCCCAAGTTGTGGTTTTCCAAACCTCTTACCGAGCATGGGAACAATAAAGGCAGTTCTGATAGGATTCGGATGAGCTGCACCTCTCAGACTTGCAGTAACCTGAGCACTGAGTGAGGGGTCTGGTACAGCCAGTGACTGAGCTACCACCAGTTGTAACACAGCAGAGACCATCACCTCTGGAACTGCAGCAAATCCCACCGAGACCCCACCTCCCACTATGTGACACCTTCCAAAGCATTTTCCAAAGCATTTCCCAGCATTTAATCCAGGCATTTGAGGACCCAAATGCCTCTCCTGTCGAAAGATCCTAAACGGCAGGGTTTTTCCCAAGAGGGAGACCTCCCATGAATGAAGATGAGGTTTTGTGCAGCCTCAGGTCTCATCCAGCTACACACTCAGCCATGGCTGCATCGGGCACCTTTGCCACCCCAGCCAAGATAAACTGGAACATGCCCCATGGTTAGAAGTGTCCAAGGACAGGCTGGACGGGGCTTGGAGTAACCTGGGATAGTGGAAGGTACCCATGGCAAGGGTGGAACAGGATGAGCCTTAAGGTCCCTCCTAACGCAAACTATTCCATGATTCCACAAGTCTGTCTGGCTTAACTCAGTCAAAACATTTCAGGTTTGGATGGGGTTTCTTTGGAGTCTACTTGACAACATTTCCAACACATGTCCCTGCTGCACTGGAGAAGCTGCAGCTTCACCCACCACCACTTCCTCCTCTGATATCAGACCCCTTCTTGGGGGTTGAGGTTTTTTCTTTCCTTTTCTTTCCTTGTTACTTGTGGAATTTTTTCCCATTGAGTTGCCAAGAAGCACCCATGACTGGGTGCTTGAGATGGTGGGGAGGGGGAACTCCTCTGGGTTTTGGGAGTTTCTCAGGGGGAGACAGAGCTACCAAGAGAATGGGGGGCAGATAAAAACAATGGAGTTGGGGGCAGCTGCTCTCTCGCTCTTTGGCATCGGAGGAGGACAGCCAGGCTGTCATTTGCTGCGAGGAGAATTCACTGGCACTACTGGAGCTCAGCCCTGAGGGACCGAGCACCGTCTGCTCATGTGCCCTGGGAATCATGAACTTTGTGTGCCCTGGGAATCCTGAATTTCATGTGCCCCGGGAATCCTGAACTTCGTGTGCTCTGGGAATCCTGAACATTGTGTGCCCCAGGAATTGATCTGTTTGTGTGCCCCAGGAATCCCAAACTTTGTGTGCCCTGGGAATCCTGAACATTGTGTGCCCCAGGAATTGATCTGTTCATGTGCCCTGGGAATCCTGAACCTCATGTACCCCAGGAATCCCGAACTTTGTGTGCCCTGGGAATCCTGAAGTTCGTGTGCCCCAGGATTCCTGAACTTCGTGTGCTCTGGGAATCCTGAACCTTGTGTGCCCCAGGAATTGATCTGTTCGTGTGCCCCGGGAATCCTGAACCTCGTGTGCCTCAGGAATTGATCTGTTCATGTGCCCCGGGAATCCTGAACCTCGTGTGCCTCAGGAATTGACCTGTTAGTGTGCCCCAGGAATCCTGAATTTCCTGTGCCCTGGGAATCCTGAACCTCGTGTGCCTCAGGAATTGATCTGTCCGTGTGCCGTGGGAATCCCAAACTTTGTGTGCCCCAGGAACCCTGAGCTCCGCCTCTCTCTCCCTGCTGGGAGCTGCGCTGCCTCTGTCCTGTCCCCACTGTTTTCTTGGGTACTACTCTGCATTTTCCCCACGCTGTAACTCACACCCTGCTGCCTTTCCACCATGTCCCCACAGTTCCACCTCCCACAAAATTTCTGGTGCATCTCCCCCACCAGTCCCAGATTTTTGCTCACTCCTGCCGGCTGTGACGGTAACTGCACCACTCCTGCAGTCAAGAGGAGTTACGGGTCCCTGGTTCTGCTTGTTTTCAATGCCATAGTTGTTGTTGTTTTGTTTGCCTTGTTATACATCCTAGTAAAGAACTGTTATTCACATTCCCATATCTTTGCCTGAGAGCCCCCTAATTTCAAAATTATAATAATTTGGAGGGAGGGGGTTTGCATTCTCCATTCCAAGGGAGGCTTTTCTACCTTCCCTAGCAGACACCTGTCTTGTAAACCAGGACACCCCTGCAGACCCCTCCAGCCACAACCCCTCCCTCAGATTCCTGCCCCAAAGCACTCCCAGGCCTGGCTGTGTTGGTTGGCTCATCCAAAGCAGAAGGAATTCCCAATTTCCACAGAAAACATGAAGAAAGGAGCTGCAGCCAGAGAGCTCCAAAGGACAACCAAAGTCTGGAGCAACACAAGGATTGAGGACAGCCGTGAGGTTAACTCAGGCTCTTCTCCTGTCCAGATCCCCTCAGAATGTCCAAGAGCCCCGGAGCCAGAGCATCCAAGAGCTCCCAAATACCTCCAACAAAGCTGGGGATTGTGGCTCTAATCCCAACCAACGACAGGACAGGGAAGAGGAAAGAAACACAAAAAAATGGAACAAACCCAAAGCTTTCATCTGAAATATC